AATGCTCTAGTGAAATTTCTCGATGTTTACTATAACGATGTTGAGGCATGGCTCGAATTGGCATCACTATACCTGAGTCAGCATTTGTAGGTATTGATTTTTTTTTCTTCCGTCTTTTGAAAAGACATACGTGAATAAATGCGAATACGATTATTTGATACAGGTATCAACAAGCCGCATTCTGCCTGGAAGAATTAATTCTGCTTCAGCCGCAGAATCACTTTTACCATTTGAAGTATGCTGAAGTGTTATACACGAGTGACAATATCCCATTGGCATTGAAGGAATATTGTAGGGTCATTGAGTTGTGTGATGATTATGTGAGAGCATTATATGGAATTAAACTGGTGAGCATACACAAATAGGCATGTGGATTTAACGCGATATACAACTTATGCAATAACACCTTCAATTACCATTATACAGTGCACACATAAATTGCGTAATCCATCATCACCCGCATCCTCTTCAAAGATAACGGGAAACACTGATTCCCATACGTTATCCGTTCTCAACGAATTAGCAACCGAAAGATTGCTTCACGTTTACAGTCATAAAAAATGCGCAAAGGATATAAAAGATATCATTCGAGAATGGTTGCAGGATTCCTAATATGCATAAAAGTGATCAAAGATGATAATATCCGGTTGAATATTTAGTTAACGCTGTTGCGGTATGATTCACAATTAATAATTAGTATCTATTTTCAATAGACGTTATTATTAGATATAATGGAATATGACCATTGTGACTTGTAATAAATGACAGTATACTAGTTAACTGTCTAAAGCGATCATTCCTAGTCCGTCACTTAATAAATCGATGTCATTATATGGTGTCAATTAGCTCAGGCATCAAGACATGATTCTTTAAATTATTTGAAAGTACAGTATAATTGCCGTTGTACTAACCGGTAGATGCTAAGACATCGGACAACATAATGATCACGTTAGATGATGAAGACAAGTTTAGTATTGGACAAATAATGATGGGGGCGAAGATGGAAGGTTTGCCATAATCAATGCAGTGATTTGGACAGCGAGACGATACTAATACGCCTTCAGTGTTTGAATCCTCAGATTCATTATTAATATCAAGTGATTTAGTGTTAAAAAAAAAAGGAATTAAAAATAGGAAGTTGATTAATTAACTAGCTGATCAAATATTACTGTAAGACAAAAATATGTATTAATATTTAGCCTTTATTTTAGTGATCTTGTTGCATTTTGAAATGTTTCTTTGATATCTACAATTGGCTAAAGCTTTTTGCACTTCTTTTTGACATTGATTAACGTTGAGACCATAACCCTCTTTACTTTTACAATGTGAATTTCAATTTACTACTACGTTAATTTATTATAATTATAATAATACATATTTATGTCCCTTTCCTGTAGGCCATTATTGTAGGGAATTATATTCAAATGTCTATCTTCTCTTCATTGACGGATAGATCTCTTCTTTTAGGAAAGAGGGGGGGAGCATTCAATTGTTCGAAAGACGTAGATATGTATTAAATTTCGATTGTGTATTATATCGTCAGTGTGACAAAAAGGAATAATAATAAGTCTATGAGAGGAGTCCGCTTCGCAATGCATCTGGTGTTCTACCCCAGCCAATAGATCGGTTGTTGGTATGTTTTCGTCGATGACATTGACGATATATGCTCCAGCAAGACAGTAATCTTTTTTTTTTTCGTCTATTTTCAGAGTTTTAATACAATAATAAAGATGGCTTCGCCATAAAGCTTCTGTTATTACTCAATGGGCAGCACTCTAATACGCGAAAATTATTATTAAAATTATTCATTCTTTTTATCACACTAATCCATCGTACAAACTCAAAGCTTGCACAATAGTTGGGTCCTGCTTTGAACCTTCTTGGAATTCTTCCATGCTAAGCTTTCCATCATGATTCTATTTACAAACCCCCCACAAAAAAAAACCGATTTCGAAAACATTAAATAGCGACACAGTGATAATCGACGAAAAAATGATAATTAATTTACCTTATCCATCAAAGCAAATATCTTATCCACTCTTTTCTGTGGAGTATCCTCATCAGCTGGTAGTTTAACCATACTGCCAACCATCTTGTAGATAGCGTCTACAATACGTAGCATTTCGTCTTGTGTTATGAATCCGTCATTATCAATATCGTAGAGTTGAAAAGCCCCTGTATCAAACACAATTTATATTAAAGACTGTTTTCCGCCTGAATTCATAAATTTACAATACTGGATCGCTACTCACATATTAGCTTCTCGTCGAGTCTTCCACGCGAAGTGACAGATAGAGCACATATGAATTCTTTAAAGTCGATAGTACCATTCTTGTCTTCATCAAATACATTAAAAACGTATTCTGCAAATCGCGAGGGATCACCGAATGGGAAGAATTGTTTGTATATCTTTTGAAACTCGGTCTTGTCGAGTTCTCCGGATGGACAATCTTTTAAAAAGCCCTTGTACCTAAATGCGAAACAGATAAATAAAAAAGCAAACGGTATACTGGTCAGGTATGTGGTCATTAATGCGTGTAATATTATAATTCTTGAGTTTTTGTTCAATGGCGACTAGTACGCTCTCTTCTTCTGCCGTGTATGGTTTGCGGCAATTTGTCAAGACTGTATATTAAAAGGCAGTCGACTAAGACAATTTATTTTGGAATCCGCTTTTCTCACCATTGCTGAAGCTCATTTTTATTGACTACATGAGGTTTAGGAGATGGAATTAGCAAAGAAATATTATCGCAGTAGTAGCAATTATTGCTTTAGAACACATCCTTGTCTACAGATGCAGTTTAACACCATTAATACTTACAGTAAGTACACTTTTGCAACTCTTTGAGCTGTTCTTCGCTGAGTTTACTCTGTGATTTACCCATTGTGTTGAATTTTCAAAAGTCGATGCAACAGTAAATTTCCTTCAATGATAAAAAATGGCCGCGTACGAATATTCGGTTTGTCGTCTTAGTCTATAAGATTCCTTGACTGACTTGATAATGTTAATTAGATAGTGGAGATTGGAATCACTATAAGCAGGAGAGCTTCATTCCGAGACGATCAAGTTGACGTTTATTAATTAGAAGACGAGAGAACCTATTTCATTATTGTTCTTGAAGATCTAAACTATATCGGCTCATATGGAAATTCTTTGAGGAACCTGATCACGTGTGGAATAATGGCGCAATTCTATGGGAATGTTCTTTTCGTTTAACTAACTTAAACTGTTGGATGGAATAAACGTATGACTATTAGTCATTTATGCTTTCAATTTTTTCCCTAAAACTACAAACAAACAGAAAGGAAACAAGGGGACAAAAATGGAGTGAACGCTTAATAATGATGTCTTTAAATTTTGGTTTTTATCTTTTAAAAACTGCTGTCTTTGTCCTCTTTGAAAGCAGTCCTTCTAGTATGATATAGACAATTTAGGCAATGATGCCAAGCCACATATCATTCCCGCAGGACGGAAAATCCTATAAACAAGACCCTCTCATCACGCCTACGGGGAAAACGAGAAGATAGGCCAACAGAATGTCATAGTAATAGACGGATATTTAAGCCCGCTTACGCTCAGGTTTTTGTATTTATAGATTAGATAAACAAGGTTTTAAATCTCTTGGCATCTGCGCTAATACAGGTTGGCAAAATTATAAAGGTTACATATTATAATGCCGCAGTAAGTGTGCTGAATGCCAAGTTGAATCACCCGATTATCATCCTAAACAATATAGGATGCCACTCAGACATTGTTTCTCGTGTATGGTATAGGACAATTACGGTTTACTTATTGTATAAATAACTATATTATTTACTACTCATCGAATAACTGAATTTATGGTTAGCCCAACGCGAGAATAAAAACGTTGTATATTTTGAAGGGGAATTCGATTGATTCTAACTATACAAGGAACAGAGTTTTTTGAAAGCAATCAAGTCGACTTTCACGAAAACCTTAACAATATAGATATTGTTATTGCTACTAATATCTGTTTCAACAATGTTGAGATTTCGATGTATTCAAAATTCACTAATGCTAAAGCAATTTAAATACTTTATAGCATCTCTAATCAAATAAGACTTTAGACATAGTTATCACTATCCTTAACTCTGTAAATGCCGATCAAATACGTGATAGTGGATCCGCAACAAAGTGGAGTTAGACGAAGAATTATCACCAACAAGAAAGGAATGTCCGAGCTAGAAGAATACTTACACAGCGTGAAGCAACTTGGACACGTAAGGACGTTGATTGATGCTTCAAAAGAGCTCGCAATATGATAGTATATATTAAAAAATGTGTCAGAGAAAGGATTCAACGCCACACATAATGTTTTTGCCGGATTAAATATTTACTCAACCTAAAATCAGCTTTGTGATATACGCGATGCTCGGATGCAACAGCTTCCATAATATTTCGCACTCTTAGAAGAAGAATTAACTTTATGTAAGCAATCTCTTCTATATCTAAGAAGAGTTTGTCACCTGAATTGACCGGTTTGGTAATGGTCTGTAGTTCAGTTAGCGTTGTATTGTGTAGGTTTACCGTCAAGAAAATTCAGAGAGAAATAATGTTGATATTTCGCACTATCATTAATAAAGTCAATATATACATTATACAGTGTCTGACATACCTTATTACAATTACTCTTGTGTTTGTATACTATTAATATTAATATGCAAAATTATCCACTCAATTATTAAATAGTTAACAAAAATACAGAGTACAGTCAACTGCCTATAATTCGATCCGAGGCTATCGATCGAATTAACGTACAAGTCGAATTATCGTCAGTTAATTACAATAGAAATAATAAAAAATGTTCTGTAACCAATGGTCGAATTATCGGCGGTTGACTGTACCGTAAAGTGCTACTTCCATATGTATAGCACCCTTCCGCAGTGCATGGCATAGTCTTTATTTACATAGAATAAACACTATGTTATTATAGTGTACGACCGAATAAAATACCCTTTAAAAAGAATATCAGGTACTTTAGACGGGTATTCATCGTGCAACCGACATTTCTGGTCACCCTAATTAATTAGGTTCTTTTCATTTCTCGTTCCTATTTCTGTTTCGAATTTAAATGTCTGATTTAGGTAGGAACAAAATATGCACACAAAAAAACATAGATGACACTTATTCGATTGTGAAACATAAGCAGGTGAAACTGTTGAAAATATACATTGTGCTTGTTTAAGTAGCAGCGCAGACTTATTACTCTGGACATAACGATATTAATTTTTATTTTCGCTCTTGAATTTAAGCTCAAATGTGATTGCAGATTCATTCCCTGTTCCTGTCTAAAAAAGAAGTGGAAACAAAATAAGAATGTTATCAAGATCAATGACCAACCAGCCACATTTCGATCTATGCAGACAACTGCTGTGTTGTGGGCTGTTGCTCGTTCCACTATAAAACATACATTCAACTCTGCAATATAAATCAAAAGCTTGAAATAGTAATTCAAGCAGTCGAATCACAAAATCAAATACAAATCCAGTAAATTGCTCAGCGAACGAAAATACGCAGAGGACGTTGAAAATCTATGGAAAACTCATTTGATAAAAAGCAGGACTTGGATTTTCCAATTAACCAAGTGGCCACCCAAATCCGCGGGGGAAAAGGCATTGCCGACTCTACACTGAGTAACTTCTACCAACGAAAAACCAATCGACTGTCCTCCCATGTAATCGCTCTAATGAATATGCAAATGTGTATACTTTGTTTAAGAGAGCAATAAACCAAATCTTCCGGTGTCGTACCAAATACAGAAGCTGTTGCCGCCACAATGATATTTTTATTGTCAATTGTCAAAATACGACATTTACAGCTTATTTTTCAAATAAAAATAATTATTATGTGAAAGCATTATACGTGCAAAAGCTTATTGAGAGATTTCGTTAATCACGTTTCTTGCTTGGATACACGTATTACGTAGACCACAATAATTTTATTCAGTATTTAGTATAAAGTTATGGTATGGTACTAAAGATTAGAGCTTATGCGTAACTGGCATGCGTGCTATTAAAAAAAAAAGCCGTCTTGTCAGAATTCAATCGGCGACTACACATCAGAGTAGAACATTAAGAAAAATCACACATATTAATATGAACTTATTTTTCTTATGCAATACTCATCCGTGTTTAAGATACAGTACAATGCATTTGTTGCCTTAAATGAATATTTCACATAATAACTTTTTATTTAATGTAGAACATACAAGCATTACAAGCAATCACATGATCACAATATACTGTATATGACTATTTCCAGCAATTGAAAAATGACCTACTGTTAATTTCAAGCTAACATTTGAACCATCTAACTAACTCTAACTATCGGTACACGTACTTTGTTAGGTGACGAATTTGACTTCCGACAATACAAGTGACATGATGTTGAGATGAATTCATAGTAACAATGGTAGATCTTATCCTTTCCTACATAATAAAAATAATTGGTGATTAAACTGCGAAGTAACTTGTTTGGACTATAAAAGTAAAACTCTTACCAACAAAGAATGAAAGGTAGATATTACGGTAATTATATTTAAGAAATTCGCTTTCTCCGTTGGCAACAAGATTTTTGATAATTGCTTATAACGGTATAAACCGTCAAAAGTTAAATCCATGCTAAATATCTTGATTTCGCTTCCTGTTTGATTTATATCTAATTAGCTCAGCATTAAAACATCAAAAAGTTATAATAGTAATTTGATAACTTACCATAAATCAATACTCCAGACCGTCGACATAACCACAACTACTAATAATAAAATCCAACGATCCTTTCATGAGTTCCGCCAACTTTATTTTACTTCTATTTATGGAAGTAGAAATTTTCGGCGGTTTAATTTCGCCGAATAAAAACTCCATATGTTTACGTCATCTATCTTTGAGAATACACGAAAGTCTGGCTTTCTTTCCATCTAGTACTCGTCTTGCTTTTGAAGTTTTAGATTCACCATTTGCCCTTTGTTCCGATGACAAAAAATATTAACATAGATTTATATATAGCGTATTGTAATAATTTTACATGTAACTTACCAGAACAATGTAAAATCATCTTTACTAAAAATTTCTTCGATAACTTTATGACAATATCGATGAACGAATGTGCCTTCGTCTATATTATCCTCATCGAAACTCACTGAAGACAGATACATAAAACTGCAAAGCAAATAGACATAAATATCAACAACGTACAAAGATCTCTCAATAATTTAGAACTTACAAACTTCTTGCACACAATCGAAGATAGATTTATCCTCGTCTGCTGACAGTGTACTCCATTTGGTCCTATTTTTATGCCATTTTATGTCCAATAACTGTTTGTCATTTAAAAGCTAGTCACAAAATAAACAAATTAATAAATTCCCTGATTATTTGTTAGAAGTTGATGAAAAACTTACCATATTATATTCAATTATTATTGAATACGCGACAGATGGCAACATCTTTGGAAGTAAGGGTCTTGGACGAATTTTATCCCATACTTTTTCAGAACATGTTATAAATTCTGGCTTAACTTTATTACAATACATTATAGATGACAAACACCTGCAGACATATACAAAAGTTAGATATTGAAATCGATTATATTTGCATAAAAACGCTTACGGTATCCGATCTATATCTTTTTCATATGAATAAGTTGGATAGGTTTCCAATTGTTTGATCGATGTTGATTGAAATCAAGAGAGATATTGTGACCATATTCCACCCACTATTGTAATAGTCATTATTATTATACCAGGAAAAACTATCACAGTATTTCTCAATACTTACATCATTCCTAGAGATATTATTTATATTAATATTGTTAATGGCATGTTCTCATGATAAAATAGTCTTAAACTATAGTTAAGATCAAGTTAATTAATAAAAAGGTACAATCAGTGAATAAAATTCATTTCCCCCCCCCCTCCTTTCTTTAATAATTAATTTGCAACTGATACTGATTAGTATTATTTTTTGGTCCCTCTCCTGCAATGAAAAGATCTTCATTACAATCTTTACGTGTAACCTCTATCACTATATCAGACTCATAGAAGACATTTGACTCCTTACAATAAGCAATACTGTAATACAGATTAGAAACAAGCTTATACACATCATACAACAAACAAAACAAAAAAAAATTACTGGAGAGGCCTCCTCAGTTGATGTTTCAGTTTTCCTGGTGTCATAACATGGAGGGGGTGTAGTAATGGGAGAAACTTCTTCAGCTGAACCTGATGATTCATCTTCTGCAATTTATCTCTCATAATCACCACTAGTAGCTTTGACCTATTAGCATGTGCATGTAATAGTAAATATGAATCATCTGAAAAGGTGAGAAAATATTGTTGTAATTATTGATTCCATACTGACTCGTTTGATGTCTTCTGAAGCTGGTTGGTCGGTTGAATGCTTTCTTGGATTAGTCTACAAATAATATATGAGTAAACACTGTCGTTTAGTTTAATCCTTATGCTAATTCCATGATTATTCATACCAGTCTGTTATTGATGTTCCCAATTGTAGAACAAGCATTTCCAACAGCAGTATTGACAACTTTTTTTGTATTATGCATAAGTGACCTGGTAGCTTATTGATGAAAAAAGAATAGTCAATATGGGCATAAGCTTGATTAATAGATCAGAAAAATGGTAAATAGAAAAAACCTCAATATGCTGTAACTCGTTATGCAATTCAATTTCCCGCCAAAATGCATCAATGTCCGCAAAATATTCCCGATGTCCCTGATATGGTGAAAGTTAGTATATCTTATTCGAGTGTGGCAAGAAGCAGAATATCTGGAGACAGACAATTGTTTGCTTTTTTTTTTAACACAACGGACACGTAAGACCGTAAGGTGTGCAGCGCGTAAATTGCCAACCGTAGTTGTGTGGGTTCCATTTTCCCACATGTTCATTACAAACATGCAGTAACGACAAGCCATCAGATGGGCCAGCGCGTAAGTATAGCCCTCCTAGTCGTGTTAAGCCTCCCTCAAAAAAATAAAATAGAAAGACTGAATAAAGCTTGCCTTGAAACTATCGTTCAACTGCTTGGCAACTTTCTTCATTTTATCCGAACCACCCTTCTCAATAATGTCGAGGTTTTTTTTTTAGTCTGCTAGACTCCTTCCGGAAGGAGAAGGAGAAGTCGGCTTCTTGCAAACGATATTGGTAATAATCTATGAAACGATAATCTTCCGGTCGTGTTTCTTCAAAATAGGTATTCCAATAAGACGCCATAGCGATAGCTGAAAATTTTTTCTACCGCGTTAGATTAGACCAAGGTGACGGCGTCGTGAATTAAAGGTCTTTCAGGTATGGGAAGTGGCGTAACAATAGACCTTTCTTTAAGTCGATTGACTAAATCATACACTGTGGATT